ATCCTTGCCAAACATTATTCAGAGCATCGAAATTCATAAGGTTGTACGTGATCGTAAGACCAACATGTCCAAATCTTGGAAAATTCTTTCCATTAAACTTGCATGAGGAAAAAATTATTTCAGACGAAAAGCTTCATCTAAAAATAAAGAATTATTGGGATGACAGGCTTTCAGCCATATGGTGGTTCAGCTTGTCTGAATTTTGTTCACAATAAAAAGATTTGGGAAAAATGGTGCAGAAATGGGCCAATTATTGTACTGCAAAATATATACATGATATAAGTATTATGTATATATTTTACAGTAGAATTATTGGTGTATTTTCCTGCCATCTGTTACAAATCAAGAGAAAAAGTAACCAGTGTGCAATTCGTTTGATTCATGATTTGGCTACATTACAGATCAGAGTTTGAGAATGTGTACGAATACCAGACTGACCCAAATTCAGACAGATCCATAACAAAACAAATCACCAAGTCTAATTTCCATTACCATCCCTAGCCAGTTAGTTCACTAAAAAAAAACATGTTTCCTTTTCATTGATGCTTCACCAAACAACTCCACAACCTGGCCAGTTGGTTATTTCCATGTATAATGTTAGTATGACATACAACCATGTTATCAAAATGTACAGCTGTGCTCAAAAGTTTGCATATCCTTGGAGAGTTGGTAATATATGTACCATTTTTAAAATAAAACATGAGTGAGCAGGCAAAACACATTTGTTTTATTTCTAATGGATTCATATTCAACTGTAGGTTATAACAGAATGGCACAATCATAAAACAAAAGATCAAAAGAAAAAGAGGAGACCGCGCCCCAAGTACTAATTTTAAAGTAATATACGTACACAAAATCTTTCTTAAGTTCTCGTCACAGTCAACCTCAGAGATAAAAACAGAGAGGAAATACAATAGTGCAATATGATAGGATAAATGAGTGTGATTCTAAAGTAGTTAAATCAGTATACACTCACATTTGATAGAGCTGACTAGGAGCTCTACCGTAATTCGCACGCAGGGAACAATCCCAGTCCAAGGATACATGCAGGAGTAGGTATCTCCAATAATCCAGTTTCGGTGCAATACACAATGGGTATAAAAAACACAAAGGAAGGCTCCAATAGTGAAGTATGTACTGGTGACTTAAAAGAAATTAAGAATAAAATGTAGTACTCACATTTACTAGAGCAGAAACTTGCTCTAGTATAATCCGCTTGGGTGGTATGATCCCCACCTAAGGATATGGTGACCAGGAAGTAAAAATAAAAGTAATAAAATAAATAGGTATATAACTTTAAAAAAATACTATTTATTAAACAAAATAATTTAAACAAAGCAAGGTAGCTAGTGCAGAGTCCCACTTGACGCGTTTCGCCTATCACAGGCTTCTTCAGAAGTGTCATGTAAATTATTTTGTTTAATAAATAGTGTATTTTTAAAGTTATATACCTATTTATTTATTTTAATTTTTACTTCCTGGTCACCATATCCTTAGGTGGGTATCATACCACCCAAGCGGAGTTTCTGTGAAGAACTTAATAAAGTTTTTGTTTACGTATATTACTTTAAAATTAATATTTCGGGCGCGGTCTACCTCTTTTTCTTTTGACACTTTGTTCCACAAGGCTGGGAATCCTTGTAT